GATAATCGAACGAGCAATGAAAATTCGTGGAAGAAAGTAAGATCTTTTCTTACGTTTCTTTAGGGTTCGTTGAGTTTCTGCGAATCTCTTATTGCGTAGATGCAAAAATCATTTTTGCGTGATTTGAAAAAGGATCTATTTTCAATTTTGAAGTTTCGAAGAGCTTGTTTGATTTTTTCGTATTATATTGCTCTGGTTCTGAATCTAAAAATAATTTCTTTGTGATTTAAAAGGGCGAAGGAAGCAAAGAAAATAATTACACACTTTGAATTTTTAAAAATGATTCTTTTGTGATTTGAAAAGGTGAAGGAGGCGAGGAAAGTAATCGTAAGCCTTGAATTTTCAAAAATGATTTTTTCGTGATTTAAAGGGCGAAGGAAGCAAGGAAAATAATTGCACACTTTGAATTTTCAAAAAGGGGACAAAGGAAGCAAGGGAAATAATCTCAATCTTCAATTTTTATTTTCTACAGTCGAAACACTTTTCAGAAAAATGTCGAAAATTTCCGAAAAGCTCAGTTTCTCTTTGCACCCCTCCGAGCTTCGCCAGAAACGTGTTTTCCTCTGAAATCGAACGACACACACCTCGTTCCCTTCCGCTGCAAGCGATAAAAAGCAGAATCAGGAAAAAAGAAACGAACGTGAGTTCCGTAAACGTTTATTACGATAAAACATATAATAAAACGTATAGTACAAGCCTCTGTGCGGCATTCAGCGCGAGTTTACGGCCTTGCTAACGCGATACAGAAACGATTACGCCTGGTTCGAGCGTTACCCTTAAGAATCTTAAAACACTAGGAGAGAAAGAAGGAAAAAGGAAGAGAGCGAAGTAGTAGAAATCGTGGAGGAAAGAACGAAAGATGTGAAAGTCGCGAAAGAATCGTTCTACACAGGTTCGATTACACGGTGTCGCCCTAAAATTCTTCTTCGTTGATTAACGTTTAAGATTAATTACTAGCCTATGCTTACGATCTAGGTGAATGATAGCACACGTGATACCGTGAGTTTAATTCGCAGTCGTCGATGAATGGACGCGGAGGGAAAACCAATGGTCCACTTATAGCACCACATCGTGTACGAATCACAAGTGAACTATATAATTAATTGTGTCTATAATATGCACACGTTATACGGGGTCTAGTATGAGAAAGGGATTAAATGTATTTGCCTCTGGTGGGGTCTCGTTGCCGCTCTTGGAGATTTCAATTCCTCAAGAGCTTTCAATAAATATGAGCGTTTTTCCGCGAGCCCTTCGAGACACGAGTGGTTTCTCTTTGATCAAAATTTTCTGGGTGGAATGAAATGGGTTGTAATTGAATTGATACTGCGATCGAATAGAATTTTCTTGAATTGAATTTTCAATTATTCGCAAAGTTAGAGTGAATTGGCGACTCTTGAAGTCTGTAATTTTCTTTCCTTAGGGAAAATCGAATTAATGTTGCGATCGAATGGAATTTTCTTGAATTAAGTTTGTTAAATTGAATTTTCAATTATTCGCAAAGTTAGAGTGAATTGGCGACTCTTGAAGTCTGTAATTTTCTTTCCTTAGGGAAAATTGATTTAATGTTGCGATCGAGCGGAATTTTCTTGAATTAAATTTGTTAAATTGAATTTTTAATTATTTGCAGAATTGAAGTTTCGTGAAATTAAATTTGGGGCTCTTGAAGCCTGTGATTTTCTTTCTTTACGGAAAATTGAACGAAGTTTTGAATTACTTGGGAATTTAAAAATTTGTTAAATTGAATTTTCAATTGTTTGCAAAATTAGAGTGAATTGGCGACTCTTGAAGTCTGTAATTTTCTTTCCTTAGGGAAAATCGAATTAATGTTGCGATCGAATGGAATTTTCTTGAATTAAGTTTGTTAAATTGAATTTTCAATTGTTTGCAAAATTAGAGTGAATTGGCGACTCTTGAAGTCTGTAATTTTCTTTCCTTAGGGAAAATCGAATTAATGTTGCGATCGAATGGAATTTTCTTGAATTAAGTTTGTTGAATTGAATTTTCAATTATTCGCAAAGTTAGAGTGAATTGGCGACTCTTGAAGTCTGTAATTTTCTTTCCTTAGGGAAAATTGATTTAATGTTGCGATCGAGCGGAATTTTCTTGAATTAAATTTGTTAAATTGAATTTTTAATTATTTGCAGAATTGAAGTTTCGTGAAATTAAATTTGGGGCTCTTGAAGCCTGTGATTTTCTTTCTTTACGGAAAATTGAACGAAGTTTTGAATTACTTGGGAATTTAAAAATTCAAGGCTGAACCTGATTTAGAAAATTATATAGAAATTGTGTTGTACCGTAGAATTTTTTAATTTTTCTGAATTGCGAGTTTGCTTCGTCTAAAATTTTATTTTGGCCAATGAGAAAGTTAAAACGATAAAAATCTTTAAACGATAATAATCTATCTAAAATTGATTTAAAAAGCAACGACAAACGAATAATTCCAGGAATAAAAAGCACGATAATCGACTGAAAGAAATAAACGAGGAAGATTTAAAAGATCTAATCGACGCAATGTAGAAAATGTGTAAAATATTCCACGAAATTATCATCACTTTGGATTTTCGAATACCTTAACCAACCTAAACGGCGTAAATCTGCCGGATAAATCAAAAGAGGGCTAATTCCCTGGTTAAAGCATAGGAAGAAGCGGCAGCTTCCGTCTTTATCCACTTATCCTTGCGAAGCACGGAACCACTATTCCTCACAATTACATCCTGATCGATCTTCGCGCGGCTGTGGATCCTTTCCAGCCAGCCGGCGTTTATGGTCTGGTCAACGATGCGGCCGGAATAACGCCAGATAGAGAGAGATCCTGTCCAACATCGGGCAAATTTCCTTTCAGGTAAGTGGCCGAAGCAAGAGGAATTGAAAACGGCGATTTTTTCGGGTTGCAGTTGAGTTGTGCTCGATTTAAGTTGAAGGAGTATTCGAGTGTCACTTTTTAAGGTTGAAAAGTGGTTGATTTTCAAATTGAAGCTTTCTGAAAATTTTCTACTGTCGACTTAAATTGAAGGAGAATTCAAGTGTCACTTTTTAGGATTGAAGAGTGGCTGATTTTTAACTTAAAATTTTTTAAGGATTTCAGAATAAGAATTGCAATCGATTTAAGTTGAAACAGAATTCAAGTATCACTTTTTAAGGTTGAAAGGTGGTTGATTTTCGAATTGAAGCTTTTTGAAAATTTCAGAATAAAAGGTTGAGCTTTAGTTGATTTAACTTGAACGAGAATTTAGGTGCCGCTTCTTCGAATTGAATAGTAGTTAATTATGGAATCGAAACTGACAAAAGTAGGCCGACAGATGCATCTCTGGAAATTTTGCTCGAGATATCTTCGCACCGTTGCAAAATTTTACGTTAAGTAATTCGAAATACGTTGTAGTACACGTCAAACTTTAATTATATTCAGAAGAATTTGTTTAATTGCAAGCGTCAGCGAAAAATCACGCCGAAATATTCAGTCCCTGAAGACTAGCGTCTAAAATTCCACTTCAGCTAAAATTATCAACACTTACAGTACTCGAGCAAAACGTAAGTATAAATTTTCCAAAAGAACGATCTCGTTCGATATCTACGTTACGGGGAGGAAATCTCGAAAGTTGAGCACATCACTCGTCAACCTGAGAATTTTTTCCAACGCAAAGAAACGATAGGATTACCTTGGAAAAGTGTCTCGACCACTTTTCTGTCGACAGTGGCGCAGTCACGTAATAACCAGCAACAATTAGCTAATACCGTAATAGGATGACGAAGCATTACATCGGTCGTAGCGCGCTTGCATGCATAAGACGAAATTTCCGCGCGTAAGATCACGGAATCCCGGCGAAGATTAGGCCGGAAACGTAATAATTGCGGAATCTCGAACGTCGAGATGGAAATTCTAACGATACGTAATCGGCGGAGGTGAGCTCGGATCTCGAAACGTGCCCGACATTTTGTCGATTCTCCGAATTTCCACGACAGCGGCAACGCCCTTTCCAACAAGTTGCGATCGTTGAACGAAGCAGAGAGCAATGATTATGGTTACGCGAGTTAACACGTTCGCTGCTTCGTATAAATGAAGGGAGAAAAAAAATTCAAACTCTTGTGGAAAAATAGCGAAAGAGGAAAATTGTTTCAGAAGTGCTTCTGTGAAATTGTCAAGATTTACGCGCTCCAGTTTCGAGCATAATTGAAAAACACCGAGTCGGCAAGTTGAGTGAAAAAGGATTAACCCTTTGCTTTGCAATTTCTTTTGATTAAGTGTCTTCTTCGTTTGATTACCGTGACAGATACGAGGATTTTCAAGTGTTCAATTCTTCCAAGTCCAAGATGCTTCGAAAAATGCAAAATCTTCTCGATCAAAGAACAATAAAGAAAGAAGAACAACAAATGTTTTTCTGTTTTCTCAAATCATCGATAAAGTTTCAAACGTAATTCAATCCAAGCCAGAAATTTACACAAAACGCAATTTTTTCAGCAACTAAACCAGCATAATCAACTATCAATCACTCGACCACAATCTCAAGCAAAAGACCTTCAAACATCACAAATTCTCAAGTATAATTCTATCTCAAGAATCGTCTCAAACCACAATTTTTTCCATCAACTAAACCCTCATAATCAATCCAGGCCAGAAATTTACGCAAAACGCAATTTTTCCAGCAACTAAACCAGCATAATCAACTATCAATCACTCGACCACAATCTCACCCAAAAAACCTTCAAACTTCACAAATAATTGCCTCTAAGTCCAAAGCAAACGAAACGCAAGAAAGCCCCCCCAAAAAAATCTTGAACCCTGTCGAATTCCTCGACAAACTCTCTACAAAACCGAGACACATCGTGAAACAAGCTAATCGAAGAACCATTGAACCCTCTAAATCGATTAATCCTCCTTCCCCCGTCTGAACTCATCTGAAACTTTCCCTCGAGAGCGTAGGACCAGTGAGCAGCAGTGAATCTATTAACTCGAACGGACCTAATCGCAAGGAAAACAGCCTGCCTAGCGCGGGCAGCCTCGATCAACACTTGAGCTGCTTGCACTGCACCCCTATCTCTGTGCACCTGCACTCTAGACACGGTCCAGACAGCTCGGTGATGATCCTGCCCACGCGATACATCCTTCCGTATATGTTGCAGCCGGCCAGTTTCAGTAAACTGGCCACAGACACGGGGATCTCGTTCTCCAACACCTTGGACGGCGCTGCAGCTTCTGTCGCAGCTACTTCTTTGCCTTTGCTCCCCTTCGAATCGTCGTTCTCCTCTTCAGACTCGCCGACAGTCGACCTAGAGGTCGTGGAAGCCTCTGGCGCCTTCGTGCTCTTGCTACTGCTGTCGGTTTTCGTGGAATCTGAAGAGAACAGTAGGTCCAGAACGCTGTCTAAAGAGAATATAGGGTCTTCCAGGTCAGTGCTAGGTCCTGGAGCTGGATTGCTGGTGGTAGAATGAATTTTGGAATTGTTTGTCTCGATCGACGTGTCTGGAATCTTGGATCCTGACGAAATTGCTGTATCGTTGATTCGAGAGTCGTTTGATTCGATGGAAGATGAGTTTGTGGTGTTGTTGAGTTTGATTAAGTGTTCCTCTTCTTTTCCAGTAGTGTGATCTGTGATTAGAGAGTTGATTCTCTGAGGGATTGCTTCTGATACGTGGTTTGTTGCTTGGTCAGGCTCTTTAGAGTTGTAGCTTGATGGTATTTCTTTTAAGTGTCCATCTTGGATGATGTTGTACTTGTTCTTAGGGATTACTCTGTCTGGAGATTCTTCCGGTCTGAAGGATGGATGGAGGAGAGTTAGTTTGTCTATGAAATCGAAGTTCGACGAGTGTTGAGGATGATTGACTCCTTGGGTCTGTAGAGGATTCAACGTGCTGGTCGTTGACGGTCTTGGAGTTGTGATACCGTGCTCTACCAGGTATGGGATCATGTCCTCGATTAGGGAGGGTAGATCTGGAGCTGGTTCCGTCTTGATCACGTCGCGGAATGGGTCTGGAGAGACTATTGGTTGGTGGAGGGACGGTGCTGTGGCGTCTGCTCGGTCCAGGACCACCGTTGGCGATTCTTCCGCCTCCACTGTAGCATTTGAGGGTTAGAGAGACGATTTTTTCGTGGAGTTTTGGTTCGGTGGTTGGTGAGAGAATTTTAGTTAGCGTGGATTAAGTTGTTGTGAGATTATCAAGCTGAAACTTAGGATCTAGTGTTACAGTGACAAAGAAAAGCGTTTGAACACGGAGCACAGTGGAAAAATTAAAGGAAAGTGGGAGAAAATATTTTAACAATTAGGACTTGAAAGAGACCGATGGTTGTTATTTTAGTTTAAGCGATAATTAGCTCATTTCGGTTACGAAAATATTGCTGATTAGTCGAATGCTGTGCTTACTTTATTGATAAAAATTTTTGTTTAATTGCTGCGAGAAAGTTAAATGAAACAGTATAAGAAATTGTTTGTAGAATTTGTTATAGTTGCATGCATAATAAATTGCAAAGGTTCATTTGTGTAGAATACGGTCTCTACCTGGGAAAAATTGCTTCATTATTTAAAATAAATTGTAAAATAAATTGAATGATTTCTCTATCTGCAAAAATTTCTTACAAGTTTCAACGAAAAATTGTTTCTAAGGCTAAAACAGAAGGAAATTCTTTAAAAAATGGAGATTGAATTGCTCAGTTTTCTTCGGTAGAAAGCAGTATTTTCTTCGTTCAAATTTAAATAGGAGGATTTGAAGAATGGAGTTTGAATTGCTCAAGTTTGTTCAGTAAAAACCAGTATTTTCGCCATTGAAGTTTAAATAGAAGAAACATGTTAGCAAGCGCATTATTGAGATTTTTCGCAAGAAACGCGCAAGATTTTCTCATACCACAGACGATTTTCCCGCAACATGTCTCCTCGGTGTTGATCCTCCGACAGCCGATCTTCAATGGCGGACACTTTTCCGAAGAGCAAACCACCTCGCCGTAGTAACACATGCAAATCACGCAGATACTGCTGCTCGGCAGAATTTCACCGTGATGGTACTCCATGTTCTCGAAGAGACAGTTGCTGGCTGAGATTTATGAAACAAAAGCGGAAAATCTCGTCGAACTGGAGAATCTGAAAATTCTATGCTAATTTTCGCAAACACTACATCATTATCATCAACCCGTTTCAATACTAAACACTCAGAAATAAACCTTTGCAAAATTGTCACAATCCTTACGTAAATTTGAAAAATTGCAGAAGAATTAATTTTTCAAAACAAAAAGGAATCACTTTGTCGCACGGTGATTCCTAACGTAGAATCACACGTGGCACAGTTCGTGGATAAAATGAACGCAAAGGTGATTTCACGTTAATCAACAAAGTATAGTTGTTCTTTTCTCAAAAATTAAATTTAAAAAAAGTACGAAGTCAGTGAAATCGCTGTTCTCCATTTTACATTCGTGAAATAAATAATACACAAGAGCTCCCGAATGGGTTAATTTAATAAGTCGGTTGATATGATAAAAAAAAATTCGTTACCGTCGCTTTTGCGGTGAGGATTGGTGATCGGCGCCGGAACCACAGTGACGCCTGTCCCAATTTCGAGATTCAGATCTGTGGAGTGGTAAGGGGCGTCGAAATATGGCGGTTCCCTGGGCACGAATCCACCTTGCGGAGAAGAAATTCGGTTGGAGAATGAAACATGATAAAATTCCGCGACTTCGGTGTAACAGGGAAAAGAAAGAAATTTCGAGATGAAAAAACTTCTGGTAATAGGAGAAACGTTTAAAGTTACAGAAATTACTCAGTCTGTTAACTGAATTCAATCCTCGGAGGTAAATGAAATTTTTTCCCGTCTCTAATTACGAACTACTTTGGCTTTCGCGAATGCAATTACGAACAATTTAACTTACTTCACTTTGTCGTTAACAAATACAATTACTCGTCGATTCTTTCTCGTTCTGCTCCATTAAAAATCCACAAATTCTCCAAAGTTGGGAATAAATGTGTCGAAGAAAAAATTACTAGTTCCTCACATATTGACACATTGGCGTCGCATTTTCATGTCTCGAGATAAATTTACAAACGCTCTAAATGGTTAAATTTCCCTTCAAAAATGCCACAAAACAGTGAATGAAATTTCTTCAAAAAATACCAATTTTCTTCCAAAGTAACGCGATTGAAAGTGTCAAGTTTGGCTTCAAACGCTCGAACGCGAGTGTGTTGAAAGGAAAACCTAACCTCAAAAAATCCATTCAACCTGTTCGCCAAGGATAACGAGTAAACTCGTCTTCACGGTGTCCTTTCGCTAGAGGAGCTCGCCTGGTTAACAGGTTAAAGGAGAAAAGAACGATAAGAGATGAGGCAGGAGGATGTTTGGCGTGTCACCAGGACGAGAAGTGGAGTAAAGCGCGAACGGAGCTCGACGAATATATCCGTGGTATGGTGTTAAAATACGACCCACCTTCGGTCTCGACTGGCGGGCTGAATCTGTTTTCCTGAGTGGCGATATCGTAAAATCCGGAGGTGTCTGTGGGCCGCAACTCCGGTGGAACCACCACCGAGCCAGAAGGATATCCGGTGACCGGGGACGGGACCGTCTTGTCTTTCACCAGCGCGTCAGCCGCCACGAACGGAATTATCCTGCATAGAAACGCGAAAATCCACCGTCTCTTTATTTCTGACACGCTTATCGGCATAGATTTCTCGCACAGTGTTCCTTAGATTTACGATCGCGAGAGTTTCACGGGTGTTCCCGTGTCTATCGCAGATGTTGCGGGTGTAAAAATTGAGGTGGATTCGAGGACAGTGGGGAGAGGGTAGGAAGAGATTAGGGAATTTCTGTGGAGATTAATTTTTTGTTTTATTTTAAGTTTGGGAGTCAAGGATCGATTCTAAAAAATATACGAAGGTAATTTTGGAAATTTCGGTGAAGTGACCTTGAGAGACAAATATTCGGTGCAGCGTATATCTCCTTTGATATTATTGAAATTGCATCTAAAATATCTCTTTTGTATGATCTCAGGTAAAGGGGATATTTAGGTAGCTTCGTTTAAACGAGACACTGTGATACCTACTTTATTTTCATTTTTAGGATATTTCTATTTTTGCAATGTAATCAGTAATATTTATCTGAAATATATCAACTTTTACCAAGCGTTAAAAAATGATTTCGTATATATATAATAATTAATTAAAATTCTTTAAATGTTGCTACTTGTCAATGTAACGCCTAGTATTCATCTAAAGTATATCAACTTTTACCAAACGTGCCATGAAAATAATTTCGTATATTTCCTTTGCACCCAACAATTCCAAATATTCTTTAGAAAATTTTTCCAATATACGTGATAATTTATTATCATTTTTGAAATATCGCTACTTAGCAGTGTAACGGCTAGTATTTACCTTACCTGACATTCGGTAACGAGGGCGGCAGAGTAGGTTCGCTGTAATCGTAATCATAATCCTCGCCCTTCTCGCGATGAGTGATGTTCAGGATGGCCTCGACGTCCGGCGGAATCGCCCTAATCGGGTTGATAGTGACACCCTGTATATGACCCACCGAGACGTTCGTTTTCACAGTCACGTTCATCACCAGGATGTCGTCCGGCATTAACACGGTGGATGACGTCCTGGTGACGGACCCTTTGCCCATCGACTCCGTGGTCTCCGTTGCTTCCACCTAATGGCAACAGGTTATGCTTCAACGAGTGGATTGATACTGATTGCTGGACAAACTCGACGTTAATTGACCGATGCTCCGGATTGCCAGTGTTAAGTTCAAATTGAGTGACGCTAAATCATTCCAGTATTCTGCAATTCGTCATGTTCTGGAAGTATATTCTGGAGTTTTTGAAATTCTGGAATGCTTTTGGTCAAAGAAAATTTCAGAGTTCTTAAAATTCTGGGATTCTTTTGGTCAAAGAAAATTTCAGAGTTCTTAAAATTCTGGGATTCTTTTGGTCAAAGAAAATTTCAGAGTTTTTGAAATTCTGGGATTCTTTTGGTCAAAGAAAATTTCAGAGTTTTTGAAATTCTGGGATTCTTTTGGTCAAAGAAAATTTCAGAGTTTTTGAAATTCTGGGATTCTTTTGGTCAAAGAAAATTTCAGAGTTTTTGAAATTCTGGGATTCTTTTGGTCAAAGAAAATTTCAGAGTTTTTGAAATTCTGGGATTCTTTTGGTCAAAGAAAATTTCAGAGTTTTTGAAATTCTGGGATTCTTTTGGTCAAAGAAAATTTCAGAGTTTTTGAAATTCTGGGATTCTTTTGGTCAAAGAAAATTTCAGAGTTTTTGAAATTCTGGGATTCTTTTGGTCAAAGAAAATTTCAGAGTTTTTGAAATTCTGGGATTCTTTTGGTCAAAGAAAATTTCAGAGTTTTTTGGAGTTCGTTTGATCAAAAAAAATTCCGGAGTTTTGGAATTCTTTTGACTAAAGAAAATTCTGGAAAACTCCTTGTCCCTTTCATTGGTACCTTTCCTCGTCTAATATTACTTCTGGTAACTTCAGAAAACTGTTACTAATTTTCTCGAGAGTAAGAAAATTTCTCTAAGAAATTTGAAACATTAATTTTTCATATTCTCTATACCATTCTATATTTCGATCTATACAATCTACTTTCCATTTATTTACTTATCTATTTTCCATTTGAAGAAACTTCTCAAACACCCAATTACTCAAATATCCCAGCATCTCTCCTCTATGCAACCCAAACCATCCTCAGTTTAAGCAATATTTTCCGAGCGATCGAGCAGGCTCGCTAGTGTATCCACTCGGGGCTTCTCGATTTATTTGTTATCCTCGAGCGATTTGTTTGCACACTAACCGTCGAGTTGACGTGCTCGAAATCCTGCTCGCCGCTCGTCGACGAGGTCGTATTCTTGTTTCTCACGGTCACGTCGAGCTTCTTCTCCTCCTCTGTATCCTGCTGCTGCAACTCTGTCACGGTATCGTTTCCGGTCGTCTCTGGTAACAGAGTTGTCGATTCCGTCGTCGTAGACGTCGTTGTCGTGGTGGTTGTCGCGTCCTCCATCGACGACAGATCCTCGATCATGCTGATCGTGGACTCGTCTAGGCTACTCGTCGAGAAAATCGTCGACGAATCTACGTTCGACAGATCGTCGTCCCTGCTGGACACTGTCGAGTCTAATGTCGTCGAGTCGACGCTCGTTGTCGACTGGAAAAATCATGCTTTATTTATTTCCTCGTTTTTCTTTATTCAATAGGGCGAGTTCTTTTGGTAGGAAGAGATAAATATCGTCGTGAGGGATGGAAAGTTAAATAATTAAATATGAAGAGAAAAAATTGGGATAAATGAAAGTAATCGTGAAGGATAGAAAGTACAATGGTTAAATATAAAGAGGAAAAAATGGGATAAGGATAATCCTGAGAGATACAAAGTGTAGTGATTAAATATAAGGAGGAAGGTGAATTTTTTTAGTTGGAAGAAATGAATATCGTCGTGAGGGATGGAAAGTTAAATAATTAAATATGAAGAGAAAAAATTGGGATAAATGAAAATAATCGTGAAGGATAGAATGTACAATGGTTAAATGTAAAGAGGAAAAAATGGGATAAGGATAATCCTGAGAGGTACGAGGTGTAGTATTAAATATAAGGAGGAAAAGTAAAATATATGCAGTATCGTAATTTTGGGAAAAAGTAGTTTTAAGCAAATGTGGCGAGCATGAGAGAGAAAGCGGGCGACGAGCGACGATAGCCAGGCCCAACAAGAGGCCCACGAAGGGCCTGGCTATAAAGTACGGCGCGCGAGGGATGAAGGGACAGTGTGTCGTAGTATTATAGTTATTCTTATATTTTGTAAAATAAGCATCTATTTATATTTCTGATCCCACATATAGAAAAAGTAAATATGGAGCAATCGCGAGAGATACAATGCGCGATAATTAACTATAAAAACGAAGCACAGTGGTATTGACACGGATAAGCTCGTTTTTAACAAAATTTCGCCATTCTGAGTGCGGTGAGAATTTAAGTAAGAATAAATTCTAGGTGATACATGAAATCTGAATAAATCGAGTTTACCCCTGATTTTCCACATCGTGAGAATGTGGAATTTAAATAAAAAATAAAAATGAAAATCTGGATCTACGATTGAAATTTCCCGCTATCTAAAAATGATCCTGCGCGCTAGAGGAAATTCCTGGTGACTTAGAGGATTACCTCTTGGACGGAAGCTGACGTGGTGGTGGCGATTTCCGGGCTGGATTTCACGTAGTCCACTGTCTCGAGGATCTCGTTGTCCATGATATCGGTCTCGAATGTGGACGGCCAGGACGTGGAATCTGTCGCGATCGAAGACTCCTCTTCTAGCTCTCTGGTGCTGGAATCGATTCGTTCTTCAACCACTCGATGACCGCGTCCCTCCACCGGAGGATTCGTCGTTTGATCGACTGCCGGCTGCAAGAAATATTCATCACCATCTGGGTCTCGTGAATGATTTGGTAATGGTAATTCACGAGGAATTTCGATCCTTCGATTTTCGGGTGGAGTAAAGTTTCTCTGAGTGTGAGAGAAGGTGGGAATGAAGCGAAGAAGAAGACAGAAGAGAGAAATATGGAAAATTGGAAGCGTTTAGTCTTCGATCCGTAGAATTTAATTTTGATGCTTTGTTAATCTTTACCAATCCTCCAGTGAAATTTTCTTCCAAATTTAGAAAATGTGAAGAAGAAAAATACAAAAAATTGAAAGCATTGAATCTTAGATCCATAGAATTTAATTTTGGTCCTTTAATTTAATTTTGATGCTTTGTTAATCTTTACCAATCCTCCAGTCAAATTTTCTTCCAAATTTAGAAAATGTGAAGAAGAAAAATATAGAAAATTGGAAGAATATAATCTTCGATCCACAGAATTTAATTTTGATCCATTTAAACCTTGCAATTTTCATAAACTTCTATTCTTTATCAATTTTTACCAATCCTCAAGTCAAATTGTCTCCCAAATTTACCAAAATAAATTTACCAAAAGTCAACAATTATTTGGAAATGTTGAGAACAGAAACATCGATAGAAAGACGACAGAGTATCGTTTTATCTCGAATTTCCTTATCCATTAGCCCCGATCTCTCGATCACCGCTGTCATCTATCGTCACAAAAGGCTAACGGGTTCGTTCGCGGCTGGCGAAACGTGATTTACAAGCCGGATGGAATTTAATTAATGCAATCCAGCCGGAACGGACGCCGCGCCGGTTAGACATTTAACTTAGTTAGTCGAGGAACGCACGGCAAGGTATTCCTCGTCGGAGATCTAAGCTTCCGGGTTGGATCGAGGCTTCCGCGTTCACGTATTTGTTACAACGCCTGTCACCGCTCGAAACAATTATACGATCATTTGTCCCCGTGGTTTTGTCGCTTAACGTTTGACACTTTGGCAACTGAACACGGCGAAGAAGATGGATTAACGCTCTACTTCTTGCATTTTCCTCTTCGTCGTTTCGAAGGAACAGCAGTTTTATGTATCTTTTAGTTTCAAGCTGCATTGACCAACTCCAGTTTGAATGATTTCTCAATTTTTCGTACCGAAGTGTGTTACTTTTCGAAAATAAAATTAATTACCTTGATCGTTACCATAAGATGGCAGAAAGTAGAGTATCAGAGAATGCAAAGAAAAGCGTTGAAAGAAATGGAAAATGTGAAAAACGTAGAAAGAAATTAACAATGGAAAGTGTGAAAAACGTAGAAAGGAATGGAAAATGTGGAAAACATAGAAGGAAATTAAAAATGGGAAATGTGGAAAACGTAGAAAGAAATGGAAAATGGAAAATGTGAAAAACGTGGGAAGAAATTAAAGATGAAAAGTGTGGAAAACGTAGAAGGAAATTAGAAATGGAAAATGTGGAAAAGGTAGAAGGAAATGAGAAATGGAAAATGTGAAAAACGTAGAAGGAAATGGAAAATGTGAAAAACGTAGAAAGAAATTAACAATGGAAAGTGTGAAAAACGTAGAAAGGAATGGAAAATGTGGAAAACATAGTAGAAAATTAAAAATGGGAAATGTGGAAAACGTAGAAGGAAATGGAAAATGGAAAGAAATGGAAAATGTGAAAAACGTAGAAAGAAATGAAAAATGGAAAATTTGAGAAACGTACAAAGAAATTGGTCTCCTTTCGGAACTTGGCGTAGTCCTTGCTGATGAACGCGTACGAGGCGTAGTTCTGGGTGGCCTTAACCTCGATGCTACCGCCTTGAACGTTTAATCTGTCAGTTTCTTATGGCATTCGGGCTAGAACACCTAGGTGGTAATCAGGGTTGTGAAAGAGCACAGGGTTTTTGCGGGGCGCCCCACCCAGCTTGTGTTTCCTTCTTTCTTCTCGCGATTCTTCCAGCAGCGAGTACGGAAGGAAATTGAAACGAGCGTTCGCCTTCTGTACCGGAAGTAGGCTGCCTAAAGTCAGCCCGTAGAAAAAGCTACGAGATTTTTGCACGTAACAAGCTTTCTTCCTCTTAATTTCTTTTTTTCTTTTTGCTTTCTACAATTTATCCAAGTTAGATATTTTTGGTTATTTCAACGATAAGAATTTTAATTAAATTTTGAAGGTAACTTCGATGGTATTTATGATGATTAGATTAGAGAAGGAAATTAGGCGAAATTATTAGGAAATGTTGGAACGGAAAATTAGAGCAGGTTTTCGAGAAAAAGTTCCAATCTTTTAAGGAACCAAGGAAATCACCGGGAATATTATCCTTTTCACGGAATCCGGATACTCAACGGAGCATTCAAATTTAATGATTTTCCCCGCGATTTCCTAATTCAATCCAACTTCCACCATCCGGCGAGAGCTTTTCTGGCCGGCGAGATTAGTTTCGTGGAAAATGCCGAAATTTCGGCGAATGTAATCCTTTCCCGTGTTGAATAAACATCGTACTAAATTGGGAGAATAATCTTGCGCTTCGAAGAAGGAAAAAAAAAATAGTTTACATTTGAATTTTCATAGAGGTGTGTTGGTCGACGTGATTCAGTTGTGAGAGAATTGGAAATTGGAAGAATTTAAAGCTTTTCATATCCTCGTTCAGCGACCTAACTCGACTCTAAAACTTTCTCGTTCGCCCCACAAACCCCTCTATTCCCAGATAAAAAATTCATTCGGTGCCCTGAGAGAAATCCTCCAACTTCAACTTCAATATCTTCAACGTAACAAACCATCGATTTCATCCACCGTTTTCACTTCGTGCCGGGCTAACTTGGACCATGAATTTTCCGGTGCCGTTTCAATGAACGTCCCAATCGACAAAAGACAGAGTCGAATTTATAATTTACAGTTTTGACAAAGCTGGTTACTCCGATATTTTGCTTCACTAGCAGCATTAATTTACAATTTTATCTTTTCTCGGAATTTAGTAAATAAAACTTCTCACGTCCTTCAATTTTTATTTTATACAATTTTCAATTTTAGATTTGAGGAAATTTAAGGGAAATGCAATTTTCGGGAGAACCCAATGGCGATCCACACTTAGAGAAATTAAGATTTTCTATTTTCATCTCTATCCCATTTTTACCCAATTCTCAATTTCACTTTCAAGCAAATACAATTCAATTCCGATCCCCCAAATTCTGGTCCACGAATTTCCTCATTTTCCCCCAATTTTCAATCTCCATTCCAACCAAATTTAATCTAATTTCGATGATCACTTCCAAAAATCGAAGATTCCAATTTCATCGCCACAAATTTCCCAATTTTACCTCCACCACGTATTTCCCCAATTTTCAATCTCCATTCCGAGCAAATTTATTTCAATACGCTGCCAGTCTCAGTATTAATCCACGCTCACAGAGATCATCGATCGCAAGCTCTCCAATTTGATCCAATCAGAATTAATTCAACATGGTAGCAATTTTCCAAAAAAAAAGAAGAAAAACTCAGCGATCCATCGACCCGAAAATTTCCAATTTAGTCGCTCCTCGATTACCCAAATTTCATACACAAGTCGCCCCTGGTAGCAATTACGAATAATGATTGAGGGGATACTAAAGGGGGCAAGGAGCATGATTTACGAAGAAGCACGTTCGTTCGCGAGGTGGAAAACACAAACCGGGTGGGCTGTTCGAATGGGGCGAAATCACGGCAACCCTGATGCAAAGGTATTGCGGACTCACTGCAGTTGTAGGTGGACGGGCAACAGTGTCCTTCGCGTACAATAGGGCTGCAGCCTTGAAGAGGCGGCGCACAAGCGAGTGGCACGCAGCGTACAGCGCCCATAGCGCAGAAACAATTGTCACAGGCGGCCTTCCACTCGATGTCCCGGACCATCTCGCCCTCCTCGTACACCCTCGAGCCCACGCGACATCCTGCGAACCGAAACACGGTCGAATCTCCTCGATTTTGAGCACTTTTTCAATTTTTCAAAAAAATTAGGAAAATATTCTCCCTTCTCTGTTTTGAATTTTGAATAATGGGGGTGAGAGATTCGAGGTAATTCGACGTCCTGGCAACTGAAACCTGGTCCAATCTCCTCGATTTTAAGCACTTACTTGTTTATTTAAGGGAAGCTATAGCTGAAAAAAATTAGGAAAATATTCTCCCTTCTCTGTTTTCAATTTTGAATAATGGGTTTGAGAAATTTGAGGTATAGCTACGCCCATGAATGATTCTCCCTTCTCTGTTTTCAATTTTGAATAATGGGTTTGAGAAATTTGAGGTATAGCTACGCCTATGTATGCTGTAAGCCCTCTGCTAAGGCCGTGCGAGTCTGGCTATGGTCAGTTCTCGCATCTGGTAGCCAGATTCGCACGGGTCAGGGTTTTTCCTGACCAGCCAACTCTCGCCAGAAAGTTGGCGCCTTTTTTTGTTACGCGCGCTTTTCCGCCCGCGCTTTTTCCCGTCCCGCGCTTTTCGGTAGCGCGGCTTGCTCCCTGTCTAAGGACAGGGGCATATAACCCGAAAGACCGGCGGAAACAGGGACAGTCGAAAAGGACGATCGGCAGAACGTCGTGCTGTTCAAGCGTTCGCCTCACACCGTTATTCTATTTCTTGTATTCATCGCTTTTACTTGCGCTAGCGAGTAAGGTTCACGCGTGCCACGCCTAAGTAAAACGAGGTTTGAAAGTGTGTAGAGTACGGCTTTATTAATCCTTCGTCTCTCCTACCCTTCTCCTCAGAGGTAATTTGACATCCTGCGAGCTGAAGCACGGTCAAATCTCCTTAATTTTAAATACCTTCTATTTATTTAAGGGAAAGCATAATTGGAAAAATTTAGGAAAATATTCTTCCCTTTTTTTGTTTTCAATTCTGAAATCATAAGTCTGAGAAATTAGACATTTTGTGAACTGAAACACAGTCCAATCTCCTCGATTTTAAATACTAAAAAATTGGGAAAATATTCTTCCTTTTCTCGTTGTCAATTCTGAAAATATAGGTCTGAATGATTTTAAGTAATTCTGCTTTTAACTCTCAGAACTGAAAATGCATCAATTTTCACTTTGTTACTTTGTCATTGGACTACATTGAAGTACAAAAATATAAACGCAAAGAAATGTTAAACGTTCCACTATCGAAGTAGCTCAATGAAAATTTACGCACTTTTGATGCATATTTAATTAAATACCTTTAAAGAACGAACGCGATCACTTGAAATTTGCTCGTTCTGTTTATTTTTCACGCTGTTTTATATATCGAACGAACTTCCTGACGAACTCGCATAAGCTTCTTTAGAAGAAAGAAAAAAAAAAACGGAGTAAGGGTAACGTCGTAGATAAGAAAAATGAAAAGTTGCTGGAGGAGCTGGTTGAAACTTTCTGTAGGCGTAAGGGGATATTAAAAAATGCAGCAAGGAAGTTTCACAGAACTTGAACCACACCCATTCTCTTACATGCCTCTATAAACATCAATATCTCATCAATCAGGCGGTATTTTCAAACAATATTCCACCACGAACGTTGAAAAATATGTATCGACTGCTTCTCTTTTTGCGTCTGTCCTTAGAATAACATGGAAATAAATCACGTCTTCGAAAAATCCTACCCGCGAGACACATGCGAGCAAATCGTAATAACGTCTGATAACAATGCTCGAAGCATCGAAATATTTACTCGTACCTTTTTCAAATTTCCTAACAATCTCGGCGGAAAACTTTTCTGTCGTTTTTATTCTCGTAGAAAAAGCAACGAAACTGGATAGAATGAAATAACAGATGCAACGTGTTCCCCAAACGTGTATGTTCAATTTTTATCCATTCACAAAATTATTCAGTGAAAAAGGAAAATAATGTTAAAAATATAGCTGAATTTTACTTATTTCTCTTCTTTCTTTTTCACTCATTAGGACTTTTACAATATAGTCGAATTTCACTTATTAAGATTGTCTCTGGGAAAATTCAACGATCTAAACTTTCATTCGCGAACTTCGTAAACGTTTCACCCCAAACCTCCCCGCGAAAGAGATTAAAAAAAAAAAAGAAACGTCGAGAGATCGTTAAAATCCAACAGAGAAAAACTGGTATCGTCTTTCGATCCGCTCGTTACCCGCGCGAAAATCGTGCCGCGAGCGCCACGGAATCCAGCAATTTAACTTTCCAACGGGGAAGTCCGGCTCAAGAACAACGAAACAGTGAAGGATAATCTGCGGGATCTGTTCGCCGGAAGCCGTCATAAAGCAGCCCACAGCCAATCTCCTTGCGCGCTAAGGTAAAAACCGAAGGAAGCCAATATCGAACGATAAGCCGATCTTCGCTGCATTCTATCGCGGGAACGTCACCCTGGGGCGTTATTAGAGGGTTACAGCGTCATCCTGTCGCCTGACGACACGAACGGAACAATGGAACGACGATTCGATCGTTATTCGACGGCCTCGCGACGGACTTCCGGTGCAGGCGACGTCGGAGAACGCTGGTTTCGCGGATAGCGTCCGGAGAACTGTTTGGGATTAAATCAAGGGCTAGAGAGGGCTTCTAATAGAGTGGAAATGAAGCTTTAGGTAAGCAGGTTTGAAGTTGAAGCAGAGAAGAGTAACTGGTTGCTGAATGGACAAATAATTAGGTTCGAGAATGTTGGTTTTTTCGTGGAAGCTAATAGTACGAGGACGTGTGCGTTAAGTACATGGAAAAGGTAGACTTTTTTAAAAGGGTCTTAGTGGGTAAGCGGGTGGAGCGCTTGACCACCAGTCTGAGGGTCCTGAGTTCGATTCTGGTTTAGTCCGAGGGATATTTTTCTTCGTTTTTCTTGATTGATAATTTCTGAAATTGAATCTGGAGTGGTTTTAGAGAAAGGGAGGATGAGAAATTGTGATGTAAAAATTAAAAATTTGGAAAAATTTAGAAAGAGGGTTTTAAAAGAATTTGAAAAATAGGAGTTGGTTAGGAATTCGGAAAAATTGGTTTCTATAAATGGGAGAGAGTGGGGAAATGAATTTTCATGGGTTATTTAGAGTAAGGAGAATGAGTAGAAGACAAAATAAAGTGAAATGGAAAATTCTGTCCAGAGTTTTCCGAGGATATAAAAAAAGTTGAAAAGAGACACAAGCAAGGGAAGGAATTTTGGAGCGTATAAACGTCAACTGTAAGTAACTCGGAGAACATCGAAAAAGGGGGAAATTCGCGAAGAGTAAAACAAATGCCCGGGGTCGTCGTTTCACGCGTCAGATTTGCCCGGGAACATGATTTCTCATTTCCCCGGAAAGAAAAGGGCCGTGTCGTAAAATTGAATGAAACTGGGCGTTAAGTGAACGAGCAGAGAGAGAGAATGACAGCCGCTACTACCGTGGCAGGAAATCTTTCGGAGCAAGTGTCACGGGGATAACGTAACGCCCGACGAGCAAAACCCTGCTTTATTGCATTAAAACGTTTCCCTCCAACTTTTCTAACACGTGTGTGTATGTGTGTCCCTTACGTGTATATACATATGTGGTGTGTTTGAAAAAAAGTTTGTTCGTGAGAAAAAAAAGAATGAGACTAACTAGAAAGAAAAGTTGGCTAAAAAGAAAAAGGGAGAATATTCTTAAAAGGATTTTCGTAAGGATAATTAGATGGTACTCGGTGCGCGATAAAACCCGGCGCAATTTAAAGGGATTAAAGTTCGCCATGCAGCGTCCCGCTGATTTTGTGCCGCGATGCGATTTTTCCTCATAAGCTGAGCTTAAATTTAAACTCGGCCAGCAAGCCGGGGCGAGAGAACGCGCGGCTTCTTCGTCGAAAAGCGGCTGATACAGCGACACCGGAGGGCCGAAACTTTCCTTTTTATCGCGTTAAACTTTTCGTCGCAACTTTCACCGGATAGAGAGGCGCGCACTGTGTCTGAGCGGCTTTTCAGAAACGACAGCGACCGGAGAGCGAGGTACTCTCTCGTTGCCCTCACGATGATTAAGCTCCCGTCGAAGATAAACACACACGGTGACGCGAAATGCTTCATGAAATGAAATTCTCGGAGAAATCACTTAGCTTCTGAAGTTTACTCTTAAGGAATTTTTGCAAATTTCTATTTTTCTGAAGCACAGTTTCTGGGACCCCAGTTTTTCAGTAGCCCAATTTCTGGGAACCCCAATTTTTCAGTAGCCCAATTTCTGGGATCCCCAATTTTTCAGTAGCCCAATTTCTGGGAACCCCAATTTTTCAGTAGCCCAATTTCTGGGAACCCCAATTTTTCAGTAGCCCAATTTCTGGGAATCCAAATTTCTGGGAACCCCAATTTTTCAGTATCCCTATTTCTGGGAATCCAAATATTTCAGCGCCCTAATATCTGAGAATTCCAATTCCTAAGATCCCAATCTTTCAACATCTCAATTTCCAAGACATCCAATTTCTCAGTATCCCAATTTTCTCAACAGACCTCACTCTCAACGCTCGCGATCCAACAAGGAGTCACGCATTCCAAAGGCATTCAATCTAACCTCTTAAAACCGAAGCAAAAAACACCGTGAAAAATCGTACTCACCATTTCCCATGATCGGTGCCGGGGTCGACAAATGGAGATCTTTAAGAACAAAGAGGAAAAGAGGCTGTGTGAGTTATTATTTCGATTTCACATGGGCCGCCAGCGAGAAGACGAGGAGTACACTCACGGGTGCAATTGTAGGCAACCGGGCAGCAAGAGTGTGGGGCATAGAGTGGAGTGCATCCTGGCAGGGGCAGCAAGCACTTCGGTCTGATGCATCTTCTCGCGCCAGAGATGCAGTAGCAGTACTCGCATCTACGTGAGCCCATCATCGCCGAGCCGGGCCCGTATCTCACGCCCTCGTGCAGGCAACCTGATTGTTAACACGAACGACCATCAGCCAGGCTGAATCTTTTAACTGTGAGCACCCTCGTACCACGCTACTGTTCTACTTTCAGGCAAACTTGTTTCGCTTTTTAAGAGAGCGAGAGAGAGGGGGAGAAGAAAGTGGTGGCAGATGATGGGAATAAAGTCTCGAGTGTTGCAGAGGGACGTTTGTGGTCATGTATTATTCTATTTGGGTCAGTGGTGGTTTTTAAGATCTTCAGTTCTGGAGAACGACATTTCTCAGGGATTGAGAATTGTTTGCTTTTATTCTTTGGAGTTTTTGAAGGATGGAGTGTTTTAATTTGAAGAAGGAGATTTCTGGAATTGTAAAATTTGAGATGATGAGGATTTCTGACATTTTTTTGCAGAGTCTTTGATATTAGGTGCCACAACGTTTTGGGATTTGAAGGTTGTGAAGTTTGAGAGCATGAAAATTTTTAAATTTGTCATTTCGGAATATTTTAAAATCCTTCGATATAGGATTTTACAAATTTTGATAAATTTCAAGATCGACAAATTTGGGAGCACGAGGATTTCCAAATTCGTGATTTAGAAAAACTTGAAAGCCTCGAATATTAAATTTCTCAAATTTCTGGACGCTCTGAATTTTAAAACTTGGAGACTTTACAGATTCCAAAATGCAAATTTCCTCCAATTTCGAAACCTTCAATTCTCAAAATTTAGTGGTTCTAGGATTCCAAATGGAGGAATCTGATGGCAGAACAGTTGGCAAAAAGTTCTCAATCAGCGTTCAATGGCGATTTCGCCAGATAGTGGACTCAGATTGCAGTAACTCGAATCGCTGGTTACGCCAGCGACGATTTTCAAGTCGTAAACTGTAATACCAACGAAGTGGAGGGTAATAATAGCGCTAGCCCTGAAATTGTAGACCACGCTGGCAAATCATAGATTATGATAACAACAACGGAGGTGTAAACTACAGTTAGCCTCGCGTCATAAGCTACGCAAACGAGCCTTAACACGATAGACATCGCGTGAATAGATATCAAGACCTCATTTTCCTGAAAATCAACGCAATAGTAATGCCTTAATGTCATTCTCAATTATTACAATTCAACAGAAATTCCATTGTAATCCATACCACGTCTCTACTCTTACAATTTCACGATAGTTACCCTGAAAACGAGAATTTTGTCGTTCTTCGGTCTTTTCTTCTTGCTCTATGTTGATGTTAGACCTTCGTAGCACGTTCATGGAATCACCTGAAAATATTACACATATTTAACCATTCGTCAACCTCCTCAGAGAGGATTTTTTTTAAAGTTAGAAGAAAATTATCTAATTTTTTATGAAGTTTTTAAGCTGCAATTAAATTGCACTTCATGTATTTTCTATCACAAGTATTGCAATTTAAAATTGCAAAAAATTGCAAAGTAAATAACTTCAGTCTCTGCAACTGTTATGCTCAAAATTACTACAGAGAGTGAAAAGCATAATTAAATTTGTACTAAATTTATTTAAAAAAATGAGAAGAATTTTATTCTGCAAGAAACTTAATACTAGAGTGGTTATATTACAAAATCTACTAAAAAATACTGTCCTAAAGTATTCAACGTTCACTTGACCTAAAAGTAACTCGATTTCCAATTAACTACACAGTCGATACGTTCTCGAATTTGATCGGAGATCCATTCAACTCCGGCTACTTTAGCGCAACAAACTAAGCAACTACGTGGTCGAGGAACAGAGTTTCACGTAGCGTGGCAAAGTTAGAGGCGGAGGTACGTTTTTCATAATCGTACTAACGTGTCTCGCCGCAAACTAATTCCGCACAGCAGACGTTCTCGCCTGGCGAGCGGACGCGACAGCCGTGAGGCGGAGGATTTGGTAGCCGTGGACAAACTCGAAGACGACATCTGAGCGCACCCTCGGTGCACCTGCATTGCAGACAGGGCTCGGACGTGACCACTGACGTGCCCTCCTGGTACCTGCGTCCCTCGTACCTGCATCCTGCAACGAAACGTAGAAATATACGGAGAATTTGTTGTTTGCAATGGTTGGTATTTTACGGCGTGACTTGTAAATGGGAAACGAGGGTGTTTTAGGGAGATTTGTGGGTGGTTGGTGTAGGGTTGTTGCGTTGAAGGGTGAATTAGAAGGAAGAGTGTGGTTTGAGATGGAGAGAAATTTTTTAATTTGGGAATGTTGGAATGTGGGGAACTTTGGAAATTTGTGAACATGGGAATATTAGAATGGGAAGTTTTCAAAATTTTTGGAATGTTGGAATGCGGGAAATTTGGGAATGTGGGAATGTTGGAATGTGGGGAACTTTGGAAATTTAAGAATATGGAAATATTAGAATGGGAAGTTTTCAAAAGTTTGGGAATGTTGGAATGCGGGAAATTTGGGAATGTCGGAATGCGGGAATCTTTGGGAATGTGGGAATGTTGGAATGCGGGAAACTTTGGAAATGTGGGAATATTGGAATGCGGGAATCTTTGGGAATGTGGGAATGTTGGAATGCGGGAAACTTTGGAAATTTGTGAATGTGGAAATATTGGAATACAGGAAACTTTGGAAATTTGTGAATATGGGAATATTGAAATGCAGGAAACTTGGAAAATTTATAAATACGGAAATATTAAAATACAAGCCACTTCTAAAAGTTATTCAAAAAATTTTAAAAATTCCTCAAGTATTTATTTCTTAAATAATGAAACATTGTTAAGCTTTCGGCGTTTTATACTAAAAATACAGCTCACACAACACTCTATCTGCAAGAGAAAGGCTCTCTCCTCAACCTTCTTTCTCTCACATAATCTCAAGGGTGAAAAATTCAGTTCAATTTACAATTCCACAAAAAAAAAGTAACAATAACCAAAAATATGCTCTTTCAACAGCTTGCAATTTTCAATAAATCACTAAAAAGCCACGAGATAAAATTTGATTTACCACTCCAAAGAACCTTGTATCCTAATTTACGCACACAATATATCAGCAAACCTATATTTCACATGCACCAACCAATACCTCACCACCTTCAACCTGTCATCGA